CGGAATACACCGCGGGCGAAGTCCGCTGTCCACTCGCTCTTTAGTCAAACCATACTGTCTACTAAGCAAGACCTAGCCTTCCGCCCCTTATCCAGTGACGCCACGAACGCCGCTGCGATAAAACTCTCGGCCAACCTGCTGGAAACTCATCTCATGGATTGAAATTGGCGATGTGCTTTTCGACCAGTTCTTTCTCCAGCGGGTCTGTCCTTGTCGATATCTAGCATCACAACTGTGGTCCTGCGCCTTGGCTAACGCTCCTTATGCTCCAGGGAGTGAAACTCTCATCCGGGATTAAGTCTACCATGTCAAACATGAACGGTCCATCTGCTTGTCGTTACTTGCGAGTACAGTCATCAAGCGATGTTCGTCATCCAATGGTGTGATGGTGCGCCTGGCCTGCCTGAAGAAGCCTCGGCCGCCAATCACGATCACGGCCGGCCCAGCTTGCACTGCAAAAGGCATCTACTTGCCTACCTAGATGCCGCAGAGAAGTAGTTCACGAGCGAGCACACAACTATGCAATCTTCTGGTAACGCCTGTGCAAACAATGCCCCGGTTGCTGGCAAAACCGTTGGACCAAACAACACCTCAAGCTGATGGGCCACCGGTCGAGGCAGCTTATGAATTTGTGCAGACCTGTGCAGATACGTGGTTGGTTCCTATATCATAATGGCATGCCACAGGACATGTGCGAGGCACGATATGCCGATGCCCACCATACTATACCAGGAACTGGGAAAATCCGCCCGACCGTGAATGGCGTGAAGTGAAAGTCAGCGTTGTGTTCTATGTCGAGAGCAGAGGAAGGCTCGTTGCTTTCACGCAACAGTGAGCTGTGACGTGGCTCAAGCAGCAACGTGAATATGTTGGCGGATGACGACCCGACGAGGGAATCGATTCTTAGACAGGTTCATAGCACCGAAGCGCTTCTACATAATTCTCTCCATAACCGGCTCATGTGGCCTCGCCTCCAAGAATTTGTGCACCTCTACCGCCCAGAGTCATGATAGAGTTGACTCCTTTAAAGCACATGTGTTTTCCCGACACGACGGTAGCCATCCCGTTGTCTCCCGATCCGCAATACATACCCATCATGTCGTTGCTTTTGCTGTGATGCTTGCAAAGTCGGAACAAGCTGAGAATCTGCCCGTCAGTATAACTCCAAGAGCTCGTGCATATCATCCGGTAGATTCGCATGTCTAGTATCCAGATTTGTGCTGTTTGCCAGTTTGCAAGGGCCTTTTGGAACTCTCGCATCGTACCGTATGGTCTTCAGAGTAGTTTTGACGGTAAGCTATGTTCATCCCTTTAGGTCCGAGAACGACCTCAGGTACGATGGTACGTACTGGGCGCTCCAGATACAATGGCAGGATTCAGCTTCCAAACCACTTATATGATATCGCTTGATCGCACTATGTCAGAAAAAAATGTTTCAAGTAGGCGGTCGAGCCGGCTCCTTGGCTCCAAAGTACCTGAGACCTTTCTCGGGGCCAGAGGAATAAAATGGACCACCGTCAACCACACACACTGACGCCTTCTGAAGGAGGTACAGAGCAGAGTTTGGTAATCATCCAACAAACGTGCAACCATGCCATGTGGGTTCTCTCTCAACCTTGCCCATTCCATGTGCTTCTTCGTTGCAGCTATGAGCATAACGAGCAGTCGAGTGGGCAGCTTCGACGTTTATGGGCTCTGTATGAGTTGATATGATGGCAAACTCATCGGCACAATGCCGCCTTGAAGTCATCCACATAGATCCCGATGTGGCAAGAAACCCAGGACCAATCCGGAGAAATTATTGGAGAAAGGGCAACCTGAGGCTGGTAGTGCGGGAGAGAGCACGTTGATCTTGACTCAGTACACCTTAGCTCCGCCGCAGGTCTCCCAACAGATCGGCTATGCGTTTCCATCGAGGA